CCCGGCAAACGCCGGCCTCTCTTATAACAAACCAGAGGCGACGGCCCCATCCTGGGCTCCCCGGGGTGCCAGGCTTCCCCAGGCCGGGCCTCATGTAACCCGCAGGACCAGCCCGGGTTCGAAAGGGGTTACTTCTTTCTTTCCACAGGATGAACCCAGACAGCCTGGCCTAGGTCACCCGGTCAGGAAGAGGGAGAGGCGGGATCTGAACCCAGAGCCCCGGGAGCCCAGGGCCATGTCCTCTCCATTGAATGACACCGGGTGGGACAGCAATCAGTGCAAAACGGAGGCGAAAGGTGTCACCATCTCCCTGATAACCGTCAGGTGCTCACCGACACCCACGGCCCCAATAGCCACGGGGTCTGGAGGTGCTCAAGGATTCCACTCCCTTTGTGCCCCCACAGCTCCCTCTGCTGCCCCCCGCCGCTCCCCACGTGCGCAGCGGCTGACTCCCAAATGAGACGAGACCAGGGCTGAGGCGCCGGCACTCTGAGAGCAGGGATCTCCGACGGAACGCACGGGGCAGGGGTACGGCGGCAGGGGGGGGGGCGGGGGGAGTGGGGGCACATTCCATGTGGGGGACACCGGACCGACCGCGTCAGGGAGTCTGCGATGGCGTGGGGGGCGACGGGGGTGAGGCCTGGCCATGTAGGGAGAGGAGAGAGGCGCTGGCGAGGGGTGTGTGTTGGGGGTGGGGGGGCGTAGGCGGGATGAAACGGAGGGCCTTGAGATTCTCGGCCGAGGCGTGAGCCCGATGACATCCACGGAAAACAATTTTATTTGCTTTGAAAGCAGCACTCGAATAGTTGGAATTCCTGCCCGAATCCCTGACCGCCCCGCACTTCCAAGTGGGTTTAATGGAAACTTACCGGGCAGTGAGGCCCCGAGCACGGGCCAGGGGACGGACACACACACACACACACACACACACACACACACACACAGGTTATGCAAGCGAGCACGCGAAGTTTGATGCCCTGACCATCCCTGGTGCCGTGAGGCCCCCCAAAACCAGCCCTTGGCAGACACCCAGTCCTGCCCCACGCCTTCTCCACGGCGGCTGTGCTGGGACCCTGCCCGGGTCATCGCAGGCCTCCTCCCCTGGCCCCGGCCCCGGGGCGAGCTTTAGAGGCATGAACCTGACCCTGCCTGTGCTCAGAGGCCCGCAGCCTCCCTCCCGCTGCTCCGTCACCTGCCCCCGTGGCTCTCCACCCGGCCCGGCTCCCAGGGCGGGTCTCCGGGCTCCGAGGAGAAGTCAGCTCCTTCCCGCTGAGCTGCGGGCCTCCTCGCGCTGGGCCCGCCAGGGGAGCTGCGGGGACACGGGTCACGGGACCCTGCCAGGTCCCACGGGGCGGCATGGCCTTCCGGAGCTCCCACTGCTGGGCCCCCTCACCTGGAGGGAGCACCCATGTCCAGCCCACTGTTCCCACCGAGAAGCAGCGGCTGCAGGCGCGGGGGGGGGGGGGGGGGGGGCACATGCTTGGGGCAGAGAAGGGTGGGAGACTGGCCGGGCGAGGCTCTGGCTCCACCACATCCTAACTCCCTGCGGCGTCAGCCTCCCGGTGCCTCGGTTTCCCTAGCGGGAAAGCAGGGCTGGCGTGAACAGCAGTGCCCACCTCAAGGGATTTTGTGTGACGGAACGAGCAGCTGATCATCGTAAATCGCTGACCTGGGTGGCTGGCAGCGGGTCGCCGACGACAGTGGTCGGCAAACTGTGGCTCGCCAGGCACATGCGGCTCTCGAGCCGCGGTTTGCAGTTCTGTTGACGAATGAGTTTGCCGACCCCTGGCCTACGATACACGTTCGGAGCTGGAAATGACGAGGCGTCGTGTGATGCTACAACTTGTCAACGGAGAGGCCCAGCTGCTAGTTCCTTATTTATAAATCCTCATCAGGTTAATAACGAAGAGCAGCCAGAGCCCGGGCTGTCAAAGGCTGGAATGTTCCGTGGCCACCTTCTCCGAGGCAGAGGGGCGGGGGCGGGGGACGCCTGCTGCCCTGGAAAGTGGGGCCTCCGAGCACCCCGGGGGGCCCTTTCCCAGCATAACCAACGCCCGTCCAGGGCCCAGGCCGGATCCACCCTCCCACCCACACACACAGGCCTCTGCTCTCGCCCGGCCCGGCCAGAAGAGCGCCTGATGTCACGGATAACCACAGGCCCGGCTCGGAGCGGTGAGGTCCAGCCTGCCGTGGCCTCATTGCCGGGGGAGGGGTGGGGGTGACCCACGGTGGGCACACAGCTGCCAGGGCGGGCCGGCTGCTCCGAAAGGGAAAAGCCCTGAGACCCTCCATCCTCCCAGATCGACAGGACGCCCCAGGGCCAGGCGAGCTTCCGAGGGAGGGAAGACCCCATGGGAGCAGCCTCTTCCCTGTGGCTCCTCAGCCCGCACCCCTCAGCCTCCCTGAGGGCACCTCTGTGCCACGGTTACCCGGCAACAGGGAGCGAGGGGCCTTAGCGCCCCTGCACCGTCCCGAGTGGAGCTTTGGGCCCAGAGGCCTCTCTGCTTGTCCCCACTCCCCCTCTCCGGCCGCTCACACAGCACAGGGAGACCGGCTCGCAGGCCCAGGCCGGTCGCGGGCGCACACTCGATGAATGGCCTCTGGTTTGGATTCTTCCCTCGCCTCATCTGGCTTCCTCTCCGGGACCTGGTGGGACCGGTATGTCCGGGGTGCCCCCAGGAGCCAGGAAGAGGAAGTCAGAGCAGGCAGGGGGGGAGGGGAGGGCAGGGCGGTGGGAACAGTGTGCTCTGGGAAGGAGAGAGAGCCCGCCCTGGGTACACAGAGCCGTCCGGGCTTGCTGGAGCCGCTGTTCGGCCCCTCCTGCTCCGTACGCGAGCTCTGACGTCAGCGCTCACCTGCCAGGACCCCCGCCTCCCTCCCCGGCAGCCACCTCGTGAGCCACCCTCAGCATGTCAGCCGGAGGCGAGGGGGGCGGTTCTGAGCAGAAGGGAGGGAGGAGGAAATGCCTTCACGGGGCACTGGTGTGCCAGGTGCTGAGCGCCTGACAGCCGCCTGATGTCACCCGGGGGAATGGAAGGAGGAGGTGCACGGAGATCGGGGTCTGCTGCAGCTCAAACCCGGGAGGAGGCGCCCTTGGGGGCTGGTCTCCACCGGATGAGGAGCCCCCGGGGGACAGAGGGCCACGGAACACACAGCCGGGCCAGCTGGGCGTGAATGTCAGAGACACACAGCAAAGTGCATTCCGGGGGCACCTGCACCTAACGGTCTTCACTGCTCATGTCACACTCAGTTGCAACTGGGCTCCCATCCTTTCAGGGAAATTCAGGCAAACCTCCACATACGGGGCTTCACGGGTGCTGTGTTTGTTTGGTGAGAGAGAAACATCGGCGATGAGAGAATTGCTGATGGGCTGCCTCCTGCACGCCTTCCTAACTGGGGACAGAGCCGGCAACTCAGGCAGGTGCCCTGACCGGGAATCGAACTGTGGCCTCCTGGCTCATGGGTCGAGGCTCAACCACGGAGCCACGCCGGCCTGGCTTTGTCCTGTGCCTTTTCCAGGTCTCAGTGAGGAACCCGGGCTACAGAAAGGACCAGGGGGAGGGGAAGGGGCGTGGAGGGCAGGAAGCTACACCCAGAAACAAGGGGAGGAGAGGCCAGTGGGCCTGTGGGCCAGCCCCGCCTGCCTGAGCCTCAGTCTCCCCACCGGGGGGCTGCGTGAGGCTGAGAGGCGGTCAGGCTCAAACAGCGACAAGGCCCTTCTGGGCCCGAGCTGCTGTGTCCAGCTCCCCACGGTGGCGGAGCGGGAGGCAGAGAAAACCGAGACATCCGTGAGGAAGAAAGAAAATTCCAGCGCTGGGCGGAGGAGGAGTGGCCAGGGCCTAAGCCGCGTGCTGTCGTTCTAGCTGTAAACACGGAAACAGAGGCCTGGACGCCTCGAGGCCCTGGCCAGGCCAGGAAGATCCCGGGGCGCATTCCGGCTCCGAGGGGCATGAGGGAGACCGAGGCCGTGACTAAGCCCTTCCGCCGGCATGTGTGCCGCACGTGGCCCGGAGCGGTTCCCGGGAACCGGGGACGGACCCGCGGTGCGTCAGCCGCTGCCGGGAAGCCCGTGCCCACGCCTCTGCCGAGTGTGGGCCTGGGGGCGGGCAGGGGGCCTGGGGGCGGGCAGGGGGCCTGGGGGCGGGCAGGGGGCCTGGGAGCGGGCAGGGGGCCTGGGAGCGGGCAGGGGGCCTGGGGGCGGGGCAGGGGGCCTGGGGGCGGGCAGGGGGCCTGGGGGCGGGGCAGGGGGCCTGGGGGCGGGGCAGGGGGCCTGGGGGCGGGCAGGGGGCCTGGGGGCGGGGCAGGGGGCCTGGGGGCGAGGCAGGGGGCCTGGGAGCGGGGCAGGGGGCCTGGGGGCGGGCAGGGGGCCTGGGGGCGGGGCAGGGGGCATGGGGGCGGGCAGGGGGCCTGGGGGCGGGGCAGGGGGCCTGGGGGCGGGGCAGGGGGCCTGGGGGCGGGGCAGGGGGCCTGGGGGCGGGGCAGGGGGCCTGGGGGCGGGGCAGGGGGCCTGGGGGCGGGGCAGGGGGCCTGGGAGCTGGGCAGGGGGCCTGGGAGCTGGGCAGGGGGCCTGGGAGCTGGGCAGGGGGCCTGGGGGCGGGCAGGGGGCCTGGGGGCGGGGCAGGGCCCCTCGGAGGGGCCGGCTCCGAGGTCAGCAGCAGCCTCGCCCCCCGGTGGGAAGTGGCACCCTCTCTCTGACCCCTCCCAGCACTGGCATGGAATGGCCCCGGGATGAGTCAGAGGGAGAAGAAGCCCCTGGCCAACCAGAGGGACAGAAAGAAGGGCCACCGAGCTCCGTCCATCGGGGGACCCGGGAGGCCCCCCAGGACAGGCCGGGATTCCCTTTCCTGCTGGAATGCAGCAGCGTTCCCTTCCGCTCACACTTCAGATCCCCGGAAGATCAGAGGAGCGGCCGTGCCCCGGCTGGGAAGAGGTCAGGGAGGCCCCGAGGTTTCTCGCCGGTCAGAGCCCCGCCCTCTGAGTCTCCTCTGGGGGTAACTTACACTTCTGTGGTTATGAATCCGGTGAGCTCCGAGAGGAAGAGGAAGAGGATGAAGAGGCAGCAGCAGACGGAGACTGCAAGAAACAACAGAGACGCCCCGTGAGGGTGGAGGGCACACGGGACGGAGGCCGCACCCCTCCCCCGGCCCCTCCTTCCCCTGCCTCCAAGAGAGCCGCTCAGAGGGAGCGGGAGACCCCCCTGAAACCCTCAGCCCCTTCCTACTCTTTTTTTTTACATAAAAATATTTTTTCTTTTAGAGAGGAAGAGGGAGGGAGAGAGGGAAACATCAATGATGAGAGAGCATCACCGATCAGCTGCCTCCGACACACCCCACACTGGAGCCTGTGCCCTGACCGGGAATCGAACCCCGACCCCCTGGTCCCCAGGTCGATGCTCAACCACGGAGCCACACCAGCCAGGCGCCCCTTCCTGCTCTTAATCTCCATAGGAAGCAGCCCCGCTCCGCAAAAGGTGGGCCGACACGGCGGATGCCGAGTCTACGGCTCTGGTACGGACTGACCCCCTCACGGGCAGCCCCTCCGAGGGGCAGGCCCAGCTTTCTCCCGCAGGGGGCACTGGACACGGAGGCCAGGCCGAAGCACAGGCGGCCACGGGGTCCAGCACGGAGCCTGCCTCTGAGGCGATAACAAAACACTCTCTGTTGAATGAATGAATGAATGAGTGGAAAGCGCGAAGGCTGGACCAGGGCTTTTCAATCCATGTTTGGGCAAGACGCTCGGGCTTCTTCGGAGCCTGACTCAGGGACCGGACGGGAGGAATGTGGTCCCAGGAGAATGGCGGCCAGCGGGACACCGGACCCAAGACGTCACAAATCATCCAAGGCCGCACGGCTGCTGAAGGGGAGGGAGGAGGCGACTCGAGCCCGACCCGAGAGGCCCCCACACCCGGGCCGGTCTCCCCGGTTATTCATAGCGTGGATCACGGTGGCGGGAGATGTGTCTGCGTCGGCAGCACGCTCGGCCTGCGCGCCTCCAGGACGAAGCCCGAGCCCATTCATCGGCGTGGCCCCGGTCTTGGCACGGCCCGGCCTGGCCCCAGGGCCCGTTCATAAATATCTGTTCGCGGAGCGGCCGCTGAGGGCTGGTCACCCTGCGCGCTGTGACGAGGGCGGCAGAGAGACCGCATCCCGGGGCCCTGTGGCCGCGCCTTCTAAACCCCGCGCCCTCTGACCCAGGCGTTCCCCTTCTGGGAAAGTTACTTTACGGAAGTGACCGTGCCAGGACACAGAGAGGCACGGCCGAGGGCGGCCATGACAGCAGTGCCCCGGCACCAGCCACGTCCGCCCTCCGCGGGCCGGCCACACACACGGCGGGCCGCCCAGCTCGCGCAGTAGGACCCGGCTGGAGGGAGGAGCGTGGCGACCTACTGTGTGCTGGGATGGAGGCGTCCGGGGCAAAGCAGTGGGGGAAAGGCGGGGAGATGGTATGCGCCCGCCTGTGCTGAAAACCCAGACACGTGCATAGCCACGCCTCGCTGTGCTTTCAAAACGTTCTAGAAGGATCCACGCCGCTGGTAACTCTACTGACCCGGGAGAGCCGGAGAAGAGGGGGGAGCTGTCTGCGGGGGGCAGGGAGGGTGCTGCTGGCCTGGGTCGGTAAAGCAGCTGAGCAGGGAGAAGGCGGCTGACCCCCTCTCCTCTCACGGCCCCGAGCATCCCCTCCGTGGGGACCAGGCACACGCGTCCCGGCTCCCGCAGCCACAGACCCGCACGGGCTGCGGGCTCCAAGAGGAAGGTGACCAGCGGAGGGGTGTCATCTGTGCACCGAGGACTTAGCACCCTCCCCCAACCCCCCCATGCCATGGACGTGATGCCCTTTCACCCCAGATCAGGACCCGGAGGCTCAGAGAGGTGAGGCGACCAGCCTGAGGTCACACAGCTGCTAAATGGGAGGATGAGCCCAGTTCTGCCGGACCCCAGAGCCTGGTCCCCTCCCGGGGGTGTGGGGCCTCAGGCCTCCTCAGCTTCCAGGAGCCGAGCCGGAGGGAGAGCTGGGCGGGGCCAGCCAGGTGGGGGGGTCCCTGAGGTCATCCATCACCTGACAACGGCCTGCCCTGGGAGGCCACTGACCCCATGGGACAGCCCCTGGGGAAGGTCCCTCTCCTACACCAAGCCCTGGAGAGGCCGCAGGTGGGGGAGGGAACAAGGTGGGGGTGGGGTAGGAGGGGAGGATAGCAGGGGAGCCCACTGAGTCCCAGGCCAGTCGGGCTCTCTCTCTGGCGGAGCTGTGACGCATCAGGTGAGCCAGGCGACCTGTCTGAGCCCATTCTCTCCTCCGGAAAACGAGGCTCCATCATTCCTGCTTGCCTGGCGTTTTGAAGTGTTCTTGTTTTTCCTAAACAAACCTCTTTACCGTGGAGTAATGCGAGCTACGAAGATGGTACAGAGTTCCCACCGCCCTCCTCCCGGCCTCCCCGCCGGCCGGCGAACATCTGGCAGCTCTGTCCAAGGGGCTTAGCTGTCATCGTCCAACGCGGTCACCAGAGAAGCTGCGTCCCATCCAGATCCCCGTGTCCCAGGGGCCGCCTCCTGTTCCGGGACCCGCCCCGGCCCCCCTCACACGCCCCTGCTTCCGGTCTGCGACCGCTCTTCAGACCGGCCTACTCTCCCCGACCTCGCCATGTCAACCCGGGGCCAGGCCAAGGTCACCCAGCAGCTAAACGGGTAACACGCCCCAGTGCGGGGCTGTCTGATGCTTCCTCATTACACTGGCTTGCGGTTTTGGGGGGTAAGATCCCCAGCGATCAGTGCCCTTTGCAGCGCGTCCCAGTGCATCCTATGGGGGGGGGGGCCGCAGGAAGGGGGCGCTGTGACATCCACATGACATCTCACTGATGTATTCACAGCAAAGTGACTATTTCCTTTCCATTCTCGTCTCTCTCTCTCTCTCTCATTTTAAAAGAAAAAAAATTTGTATTGATTTTTTTTTTACAGAGAGGAAGGTGGAGGGATAGTTAGAAACATCGATGAGAGAGAATCATCGACCAGCTGCCTCCTGCACCACCCACCCCACTGGGGATGTGCCCGCAACCAAAGTACATACCCTTGACCGGAATCAAACCCGGGACCTTTCAGTCCGCAGGCCGACGCTCTATCCACTGAGCCAAACCGGTTTTGACTCTCTCTCTCTCACTTTTTGAAATGTATTTTTTATTGATTTCAGAGAGGAAGAGAGAGAAACATCCATGATGAGACAGAATCATGGATCAGCTGCCTCCTGCACGCCCACAGTGGGGATGGAGCCCGCAACCCAGTGTTGTGCCCTGACTGGGAGCTGAACCGTGACCTCCTGGGTCATAGGTCAACGCTCAACCACTGAGCCACGCCGGGTGGGCCCATGCTCAGTCCTTCACAAGCGAGGCACTGAGTCCAGCCCACACTCCACAGGAAGAGGACCGAGCTCTGGCGAGGAAGAGTCACACACACACACACACACACACACACACACACCCGTCAGCATGGACTCAGGGCCTTTCCCTGGGCAATGAGCCGGTAGTTCCATTGCTTGTTTTGTCCCTCGAACGGCCCAGCCTCGGTCTCCGGTCCCCCCGCTCCCAGGCTGGCGTCCGGCCGACGCGCCCCAGCCCCTGTTCCTTCTCTGGGCCCTCGTGGCTTCCTGGGGCCCGCGGTGCTCCGGGTTCCCTCTGTACCCCTCCGGCCCGGTCCTACATCAGCCACTTCTCCACGGAGCCCCGCGTCCTGTCAGTAACGAACCAGAGGCCCGATGCACAGAATTCGGGCAGGGGTGCGGTATCCCCCAACCCGGCCTGCACCCTCTCACAATCCAGGGCCCTTTGCTCCTAACCGCCCGCCTGCTCACTCCTCACCCCTTGGCCTGGAGCTCCTTAGCGCGGCCATGAGTGCGGGTGAGGCTCCCACCACCGCTGCTGCACTTGCCAGCCGTGAGCCTGGCTTCTGGCTGAGTGGCACTTCTGCTGTGCGAGCGCAATGACCCCCAGGGAGCAGCTCCTGCGTCGAGCGTCTGCCCCCTGGTGGTCAGTGCACGTCATAGCAACTGGTCGTTCTGGTCATTCCACTGTGAGGGTCACGGATTTTATATAGATAGTTGACATTTAGAATTCAACACCTGGGTGAGATTTTTTTTTTTTTTTTTTTTTTTAATGTTTGAAACCATGCTTTTGTCAGAAATGCAGCTAGTTTGAAAGGCCTGGAGAGAAAAGGAAGTCTCTTCCTGACCCTGAGCCCCCGTGTCAGCTCCTGGGGCAGTGACTAGGAGTGACTTCTGGTGTCCCCTCCCAGGAGCAGGGGCCGCCTCCCTCCCCGGCGAGGCTGAGGACAGAGCTGAGACGAGGAACGACAGGAAGGGCCTGGCGAGACGCCGTCATTGCTTCCCGCCTCCACCTCTGCGTAGCTCTGGCCCAGCAGTTCTGCACGGGGAGTGGGCGCAGAGTGGGATGGGGGAGGGGGAGAGAGAAGGGGTAGGGGAAGGGCTACTCACTGATGGCCCCGGTGTACGTCGGCTGCGTGAGGTCCTTGGGCACCTTCCTGTAGATGTCAAACCTGCGGAGAGCAAAGGGGACGGGTGAGACGGGCACGGAGGGCTGGGCCGGGGCGGCAGGGGCTGTGGTGTGGCTGGCGTGCCCCATAGCTCGGCTAACCTCGGCCCTCCCAGGACAGCTCCCCCAGAGCCTGCGGGACACCCCTCGGGTGGGCCTGGGCCCCCACACTGCCCTTACCCATCTCACTTCCTCAGGACACCTGCTGAGAGGACCTCGACCCACATTTGATTATGTTTCTTTTTAAAATATATATATATATATATATATATATATATATATATATAAAATTTTTTTTTTAATTGATTTCAGAGAGGAAGAGAGAGGGAGAGAGATAGAAACATCCATGATGGGAGAGAATCACTGATTGGCTGCCTCCTGCAGGACTCCAGACTGGGGGTTGAGCCGGCCACCCGGGCATGTGCCCTGACCGGAAATCGATCCAGGACCTTTCAGGTGACAGGTGTTAACGCTCAACCACCGAGCCACGCTGGCCGGGCCGGCTGTGTTTCCCCATTAGAATGTCGCCCTCCTGAGGGCAGGGGCCTGGTGAGGCTTTGCACCTACCACATCCCCAGGCCCTCGCTTGGGCCTGGCGCAGGGTAGGCACGCAACAGGAGTGAGCTGAACCCCGAGGGCTTCTCCGCCCGTTAAAGGAGCAGGATGCTATGGCGTCACCTCCCCCTCACCCTCCAGTGCCCACCCCGGCCTCCACGGCCCTGTGCCCGCTTCTGACAGATGCTTCTTTGTTGTTGTTACTCCTCACCCGAGGGTATTTTTCCTCTGATTTTTAGAGAGCATGGAAGGGTGGCGGACAAAGAGAAACAGACAGAGACATCGATGTGAGAGAGACACATCGATTGGTTGCCTCCCACATGCACCCCAACCAGGGCCAGGGATTGAGCCTGCAACTGAGGTACATGCCCTTGATCAGACTCAGGGCCAACGCTCTATCCACTGAGCCACACCGGCTAGGACCTTAGAGATTCTTCTTCAGCCAACATAAACCCTGCCCGGGACCCGGCCTCGGCCTCGGCTCGGCGTTGGCTGTTTCCTGGGTTACGGCCCCAGGCACAGAGCCCTCGTCTTTCTCGGGGATCCCATCAGCGTGGACAGGGGTTGTGGGCGGAAGGGTCTGGGGTTTGGGCCTCAGACAGGCGTCTTGGGTTTAGATCTGGCCAGCTGTGGAAGACAGAAGGCCCTGCGTCAGCCTGCCCCGGGTTCAAATCCTGGCTGGTCTTCTTCCTCGCTGTGTGACTTCAGCCAAGTAACTTCCTCTCTCTGAGCCTCCGTTTCCTCGTCTGTAACCATGGGGCTCCTATGACCACACCGCCAGGGGAGGGACACCCGTGCCTGGCAGATCTGACACGGAGCATCCGCAGGGGGGCTGGGTGAGAGCCGCTGTGCTGGCCCGGCAGGGGGATGGGCTGGCCTGGGCGCCCCTGCAGGGACCGGGGGAGGAGGCACCCTGCCAGCCTGACGCCATGGCTTACAAGCCTCGCGTAAGATCTGATCCTTGCCTCCTGTGTGCTCCCTCAGACAGCACGTGAACCCGGCGTCCTAGGACCTCAGAGGAGAAACAGTTCCTGCTGGCCGCCAAGTTAAAAGGCTCCACTTTCCTCCCTCCCTGCTCAGCCGGTGCCAGGGCCCCTGGGGGCACCAGAAACCGGGGCTGGGAGTGTGTGGGAGGGGCTGGGAGTGTGTGTGAGGGGTGGGGACCCTGTGACTCAGCCACCCACACCTGCCCACCTCCCTCACGCTGACAAGGTCCTCCCCTTTCCCGTGAGAGGCACGTGAGAGGTAAGAGCAGGCGCTGTGGAGTCTGCCTGCCGGGGTTCCAACGTGACTTGGCTGCTGGGTGACCCGGGCCACGTCCCTGACTTAACCTCCCTGTGCCTCAGTCCCGTCACCTGTGAAATGGGGCAACAATCCTACATGGATACCAAGCAATGAATCCATCAGAAGTCTGAGGAGGAATGAATGGGGCACGAACGACAGGGACATGGACGCCCCTTCCAAGTCCCTCCCCACGAATCCTCGTGAGCTACCAGAGGAGAAAGTGGAACTCAACGGAGGAGAGCCGTGGCAGACATCACGGCCACCACGTGACCGAGTGTCACCAGCAGGAGACACGTCACGGTCCCCACGCCATCACGCCGGCGGAGAGCTCGCTCCCAGCGTGCCACCTCGCGAGAATCGTGAGGAAACACGGAGGGGCAGGTGGCAAAGTGACAGGCGAGGCCACGAAGGCAAGCAGAGACAAAGGCACTCTCCGAGACGAGAGGAGGCGGCAGAGACGGGGCGACCCGGTCACACGGGCCGGTGTCCCGAATGGGGAGGGGGCGTCGGTGGGGCATCGGGTGGGATCTGAATTAGAAACTAGAGGCATCTGAACTTGAAGAGCTGGCTTGGCAAATGTTTTGTTTTTGTTTTTTAAATATATTTTATTAATTTTTTAATAGAGAGCTAGAAACATCGATGAGAGAAAAACACTGACCAGCTGCCTCCTGCACACACCCACTGGGGATGTGCCCACAACCAAGGTACATGCCCTTGACCGGAGTCGAACCCGGGTCCCTTCAGTCCACAGGCCGATGCTCTATCCACTGAGCCAAACCGGTTTCGGCTGGCTTGGCAAACGTCTGCAGAGTGTCCTTGGTGTCGGGTAGGGTACGTCTCTGTTGGAAGTGGGAGGGGGAGGGAGGCTGGGTGAACAAAGGTCTAGGAGAGGAGGTTAGCCTTGGACCAAACTCCCGGAGGCCAGAGCAAAGGGGTGTGCTCCGGACAGAGCGAGGGGGGCGGCTCTGGTACCAGGCTCTTTCACAAATACACTGTATTTGACTTGAATGTTCACAGTAACCCTGGCAGCAACTTGCTCCAAGTCCCCAAGCCCATGGCTAGCAGAGGTAGGATTCAAACCCAAGCCCAGAGGCCATGGTCCTTCCACTCCCCTGAGCCTGTGGGAATCTGCTGAGAGCTCACCTGGTGGTAAACTAAAGTCTTAAGGCTTCGTGTACTTGCTTTTCCAAAGATGCTGCCTCAGAGCAAGTGGGAGCCCCGGGGCAGGCAGGGGCCAGTTCAAAATACATGAGTTCACTCAACAGATCTTCACGGAGTACCCGTTGGCGTGGGAAAACCAAAGAGGGCAAGGTGGCCACGGCCCCTGCCCCCGTGAAGCTGCCCGTCCACCAATGGCATGGGCTCCCTGGTTAGGGCCACCTGGACCGAATGCTCTCGAATTAACGATCCCCTTCCCACGCTACAACAGCCGCGCTGGGGAGAGGGGGCGGGGCCAAAGGGAGAGCTGAAAAAGACCCTGGGTTCAGAGCTGACCACAAGCCAAGTTGAGTCAGCAGTAAATGCCACGGAGAAAACGGGCCACAAGGGAGACGGTGAGAACCCAGGCATGTGACAGACGGGGAAGTGAGCTGCAGTCCCCTTTGGCTCGCATTAGTCAGCCCCTCACGGCGGTGAGGCAGCGATGAGATAGCGGTAGCCACTCGCGGTCAGAAGAATGTGGAAGAAAGGGCAGGGAGAGTGGGGGAGGGGAAAGGGTGCTGACTGCACATCTAGGGTGTGCCTGGCTCACACAAGGCCAGTGGTCGGCAAACTCACTGGTCAGCAGAGCCAAACATCGACAGGACAACGACTAACATTTCTTTTGAGAGCGAAAACCGATTTCTGCGCATGGGCCACGAAGTTTCCATCGCTTGTACGTGCACTCCCGCACGTGGTATTTCGTGGAAGAGCCACCCTCAAGGGGCCAAAGAGCCGCATGTGGCTCTCGAGCCGCTGTTTGCCGACCACTGCGCTAGGCCCTTGACCAGCTCCTTCTCATCCAATGGTCTCAGCCAACCTACCAGTGAGGGGCCGTTAGCCCGTTTCACAGTGAGGCTCCGAGGGGCTGGTGACTCAGCTATAAAGGGTCACAGGGGCCTCCCGCCTTCCACGCCCTCCGCCGCCCGGCCTAGGAGGCTGAGGCCACGGCGGCCACACCCATTCATTCTCCAGAGGAGAAAGCCGGAGCCCCAAAGAGGGGGGTGCGTGACTGTCCAGGTCAAGGTGTAAAAATTCAACTCAGAGTATTTCAAACGAAAACCAGCCGAAACCGGTTTGGCTCAGTGGATGGAGCGTCGGCCTGAGGACTGAAAGGTCCCGGGTTCGATTCCGGTCAAGGGCATGTACCTTGGTTGTGGGCACATCCCCAGAGGGGGGTGTGCAAGAGGCAGCTGATCCCGTCTCCTTCGCCTCCTCTGGTCACATGATTCTCTCTCGTCTTTGTTTCTAACTTTCTATCCCTCTCTCTTCCTCTCTGTAAAAAAAAAAAAATCAATAAAGCATAAAAAAAAAATAATAAAAAGTAAAATAAAACGAAAACCAGCCAGCAAAAAGCTAGGGACGGACACACTGGGCCTCTCTCACGCTCCTGGAGCCACACGCGGGTGGTTCTCGGGCAGGCACGATGTGGTCTCCAAGGCAACATGTGGCAACATCCGGAGCCGTTTTGGGGGTCACGCTGGGGGCAGCTACTGGTACCCAGCAGGAGGGCAGGGGTGCTCAGAACCACCCCTTCGCACACAGGACAGCTCCCACCACAAAGGGTGAGGGGCGTGAAATGTCCCCCTATCGCGGGAGGCCCTTTCGCCTGCAGAGCAAACCTTTCTGTGCGGGAAGCGCGTGGCCCGCGGGGTCTGTGCTCCTGCCTCAGCCGGGGCTCCGGCCTTGACTGCCCTCCAGGGAGCCGAGAGCCGGGAGGGAGCCGGCTTCTCTCCCTTTGGCTCGGGGCTGAGCGGGCAGAACCCACTGGGAAGAACCGGGCAAAGGTCCCAGCAGGGGGAGCGAAGCCGATCTGCATTTGTGATGCGCTCCGGAGTCCAGCGGGTCCAGGGCCCGCTGGTTTATTCAAAAGGGCGCTGAGCCCGGCCGAAACTGGTGCAGCTCAGTGGACAGAGCGGCGGCCTACGGACTGAAAGGTCCCAGGTTCGATTCCAGTCAGGAGCATGT